TGAGTGCAGGTCAGGGAGCTCGGAGCGGATGGTGCGCTCAGCTGACCGCACAACCCTCTGTAGAGCTCGTCTGTCCTGCATGGTGCTGATAGCTGCCAACATCTGCCAACAAATAATCTATAAAGTTATTCTATACAGTGTGTAACTGTTAATATAGAGCGTTATTAAATTGATTGCTAATGCAATCATACAGCACACTGACTTCTGAGGAAATTTTAAATGGCACTAGTCATCAGAAAGGTTGCCGACCCCTGATTTAGACAGTTTGTAAGTCTCAGTGGTGCCGCAGTATTTCTTCGACTTTGGGACTTGAAGCGAAGTTTGGACCCGGGCCGGAAACGGCTAATGATTTCAGACTTAAATACTGGAAAGGAAGCACTGAAGCTCCTTTCCTTCAGAGGACGCAAACAGCATTCATGTCCTAACTCAGTCACAGCTTTTACCTTCTGTATCATCAGCTCATCACGGCCAAGGAGGTTTTCGCCTCTTCTCCACTGACACTGCGCTAAAGACGCCAACGTCCTGCAACCACAAGGATCTGGTTCTAGACCCAGCACTGGTGGAGAACAGGGATCTGACAGGAGGAGCTGAGTAAATCCAGATTCCTCTGGAAGGAGATAAACCCAGATTAAAACTCTGCTGAAGCTTCCAAAATAAGACTAAAATTTAAACTTCCCTCTCTGAAGTCGTGCGATTCAAACAGATATCAGCTGAGGATTATTTGATCACCGCTGTTTGATCAATATAGGAAGGTTGATTAGTTATAATAATGTGAAAAAATGGATTCTTCCTGTCCCAGCTTTTCACAATAAAAGCCCAAAATAACAGCGAAGAACCTTGTAAAAAAATAACAGAAGGATGTTATCTGCTGCAGAGTGTAGACTGAAATAAAAATCTTATTCTACTCGTTACAAAATAGAAGATTTATATCCATGAATATAAAATAAAATATATTTTTTATTCATTAATCTAAAGATATTCTGCCCATAAGAATATGATGCTAGTGAGACAGAAGATTATAGTTTCCTTATTAAATTAACATTTTAAAATCAGATCAGTTTAATAAAGTAACGGCAGGGATAGCTCAGTAGGTAGAGTGGTGGCCCCATAATCGGAAGGTCGGTGGTTCGACTCCACTGAACGGCTACCCTGAGGTACCCTTGAGCAAGGTACCGTCCCTACACACTGCTCCCCGGGCGCTGCACTGGCGGCTGCCCACTGCTTCACTGGGTGAATGGGTTAAATGCAGAGGAACTATTTCCCTACGGGGACTAACATGCACACTTTACAGCGTGAGGAATGAAACTGGTTTAATGATTTATCAATAATATTTGAATCATTTCTGATCAGTGGTCTGATTTAGTGACTTTTACAAAATAGCTAAATTACATGTAAATAATTCATATAAAAGTTTTATAATAACTGTTACTGTCAGTGAGATCAGAGCAAGCGTGTGATGTTTGTAAAGAGCATGTGACCTTAGTTCAAACCTGGACCTCAGAATGATCAGCAGGATATTGATTACTCTGGTCTGAAGCTCAGGTATGAGGAAGAAGAAACCTCATCTGTGCGAGCACTCTTCCTGCCTGTGAGATGTTCCCCCTCAGCGTCACTGGGACTCAAACCCACCATCTCCTGTTTACCACCTGCAGCTCACACCTGAAGCAGGCGAAGAGGAGTCTTGCTGGGCATCGGACAGAACGCAGGTTTAAGGATCTCTGCCTGTCTGAAGAGCGGTTTTGTTCCTGCTCGGTCTTGTTAATCGATCCGTGGTTGTCTCAAAGCAGCCGGCTGAATTCACTGTTGTCTACCAAGGTTTCAGGTCAACCCCCCACCCCCATTAAGCCCACGCTGAACTGCACGTGCTTTTACCTTTGTCCTTATCCAAAGGTCAAAGGTCAGACACTTTCTGTTACAGAGTTATTTCAGGATTTTATGAGAAATTTGTAGGACTTTTGATCACTTACACTGTTATCCTGACATGTGTTTGTGTGTGTCTGTGTGCCATGTTTAGATTGTTGTGAGGACCAGAAATTGGAACACTACTATGCTTGTGGGGACCAAGAGGCCTTATGGGGACAAAGTGCCCGTCCCCACAAGTTTGAAGACATTGTTGAGACTCAGAATGTGGTTTTAGCATCACAGTTAGATTGTGGTTAGGTGTGTGTGTTTTGGTAGCTGTGTGTGTGTGTGTGTTTAGTTGCAGTGTGTCTCGGCGTCTGGCGGGGAGAGGCCCCGGCTGTCCCAAGCTCCAGAGGCCGCGCATGCGCCGTGTGGCGGGCTTTCCACATCAAGGCTGTGAAGTGTCGGAAGTTTGTCGGAGTGAGGCCGAACAGAGGACGCTGTGAGTGAACCAAAGAGTGTTTTAAAGGCGAAAAAAGTGTGTGAGGACGCGGGGGGGAAGTCTGCAGAGTACCCCGAAGGCTCGTCGATGGGTTTGAGCCGCTTCCCGCTGGTTAATCGGCGCAGACAGCAGCGTTAGCGGCGGCTGGAAGAAGTTGTAATTGTTTTTTGGCGCTCAGCGGCGAAGAGGAAAGATGGAGGATCTGCGGCTGTAGCCGCGGCTAACGCTAGCTGCCCCAGCGTCTTCTCGGCCCAATCCGAGCTGCCGAGCGGCCCCAAGGGCGTCCCGCGGTTTGGATGCTCCCATCGGACACGGCGAAGTAGCCCCGTAAGTATGTTTCTTTGTCCCGGGCTGTTTGTTGGATGTTTGTGGGAACGAGCGGGCGGAGTGCGTCGGTGTGTAGCCCCGAGCTAATTAGCTGAAATCACGGTTAGCTTATTGAGCTTAGCTCCGTGCTGCTAGCTGCCATTACACCCACACACCGAAGTTTGTCAGCCCAACAAAGTTCACCGAGAGCGGGGCGAGAGTGGCGCGGTCTCGCGGGGAGAGGCTGTGACCCAGAGAGAAAGAAACACGGGCCATTATCTCACACACACTGTGGTAAAGTAATAAGTCAGTGTTTTCAGCCTCCCCCCGCACGCACGCACGCACGCACACACACACGCATTCTGAGTGAGTGATTCAAAACAAGGAAGGACAGAAACACAAAGATCAGGCTGCTTTCATTCAGTCAGTGATCGATTAATCAATCGGTGCCAGTTTCATCTTATCATCTGTCAGTTATTTTATTGATTAATCAGTCAGCTGCTCCAGAGACCTGCCTTCAAAAATCAGTGTGCTATATAAGGGAACCGTTTAAACTCTTCTGGCAGGAAATTATCTTCGTTATTTATTGATAAACAGGCTAATAATTATCTGAACGACTGAGTCAAAGGATCTGTGGGGGTTTGGAATATTGATTAGCTGATTATTATAGGTTATTGAGATTTCTTATATTGATCGATCAACTCTAGGATGTCGACATTTACAATCCTCGTTCCTCAGTTTATTTTATTTTATCTTCCTCATCTATAGCTTAATTTAACATCAAACCCATCAGACTGACACGGTTGGGTGAAATCAGTCAGATCAATATCAGCCAGTCTTAGTATTTTCTAATCAGTAAAAAAAATGTTTTTTTTTGTTTTTTTTTTTCATTTAAATTCAGACTTCATCCATTTATTGATTACCAATCATTGTTAATTACCTGACTGGAAGAGAAACAGCTGGCTGATTAATCAGATAATTAGTTGATTAAAGGTTTTTAATGTTTAAATGTTGGGACATGCGGTTGTAAAAAGCTTTGAAGATTGATTTTAGAGTGACAGATTAAAGGAAAAACAGTGTGAGGTCAGGAGACTGTCATCGTGGTTTCCTGCTGTTCACCCCGACTCTTCACCAGACACCATTCAGGTAAACAGGACTTTTACCTGAGAGAACAGGTGAGCTCCGGGTCTGCCCCTGTCCCTACTGCTGTGACGCAGGGTCTGTTTGGATCACAGGTAATTCAGTGAAACGTGAAAAAGTGGCCGAGTTTCCCGCCAGGTATAATCTGTTTTTGTGAATGGACTCTGGTGAGACGTTTCATGTCACTTCTACATAAACATGGACGTTATATTTAATCCCACACAGAGGAAAATTAACTGCAGCACAGGAGATGGGAAGAAAAGGTGAATCACAAAAATAAAATAAGAATAGAAAAAAAATAAATCAGTAAATTGGTCCACGGAAAAGGCCAAAATACTAACACGCCAACATGAAGACGGTGTGAACCTCCAACCTTCTGCTTACCCGATGGATCAGTGCTGTGAGATGTTTTGGGCTCACGTGTCCCCGTCGTCATGTTTAGATTTATTGATAATAACTTGCATTAATGTCTGGATATTGATCAGTCCCCGAATCTGAACCCTGCTTTGGATAAAACTTCAAAAAGCCGAAACTCGTTAAAGCACGTTTAACCCACAGAAAGTAAACAGAGTCACTCGGACCTTCAAAATAAAAGCATAAAAATCAGCTGTAAAAGTTTGTGATGCGCTCAGATTAGTGTAGATGTTTTTAATCTTCATGTGTCAGATTTTAGATGAAGGCGATGTGGTCATCGAATTTTGCTAAATGGAACAAATGCCGACCCATCGCCCGGTGGGTTGACCCAGTGTGACCGCACTGAGGTGGAGCTGATGATTTCAGACACACTTGACTGCTCTGCAGCTGAAAACAATGAAACTAAACCTGGTTATTGATTATTGATGACTGAAGCAGCTATGGTAAGGCTAGGTAAAGTTTATTTTCTTTTCTGAAGCTGGTCAGAGGCTGTTTTAAGATCATTTTCCCTTTTCTTGGACAGTGACACGTATGTGTCAGCTATGCGGCGTTCGGTCGCTGCTTCCACCTGTAAATAAAAATGATGGCTTTATAATAGTTTCCTGTTTGAGTCCAGCGCAAGCGAAGGCGCCGGCTCACGGGGCGGGCGGGGCTGTCTGTCGGGCAAATGATTAAAGTGAGTGAGTAAAGCCTTGAACGCCCTCACACGCTGAACCTGTAAAATAATAAGTTTATTTGTTAAACTGAGCTTCACTTGCGTAATCTGGATCTGGCAGTGGTTTCCTGCAGTTCCCAGTGAGTCTGCAGAAAGCACCGTCTCAGGTTTAGAAAACTAAACAGGTGAATTCTGATTATTTTTAATTTGACAGTTTTCCTCCATCCAATAAAATCATGAAAATGAATTAAAGAATTCATTTGAATGAAAAGAAACTTTAAAATCCAATCTCATTAAGAGCAACGACCAAAGAAAGTGACGGACCAATGAGAGGCAGCCGTCAGACGTAAACAGTTCAGCCTGGATCATCAGAGCTGCGTCATTACAGCAGCAGCAAAAATGATTTCAGGAGTAATGATCGAGATTTCTGTGACGCATGAAAGCGCAGACCGATGCTGTGTTTGAGAGTGTCACAGGATGTGTGATGCACCCTCTGCCAGCACATCAGTGACTGTGTGACGGCTCTGAAAACGAGACACACTGCGATCGGTGATTGAGCCGACATTGATCCGAGCATTGAACTATGTTTTAGCCTCTTTAAACAGTTTTTTGTGGAAGGATGATTTTAGAGCGTTTTTGTCTTTGAGAGTAATCCGGCAGCGGCAGCTTGAAGTGGCGTGCTGCAAGCTGGAGACTGCGTAACAATCCCAAAAGCCAGCTAATGTTTTTTATATTAAAAAACATAAATAATTTGTTTAATTAACAGGAGCACTGTTATGATGAAAGAGAAAAACGGCAGCAGAAAAACAGAAGGGTCAGAGGTCACGGCACCTTATCGTCAGACTGGACAGAAGAAATGAGGAAGCGTTGAGCAATGGTCACAGGGTCAGGGTATCAAAGCGATCTGGCGTCCTCATGAATGCCTGTCGTGTTATTAAGGTGACAGTAACACGAGTGAAGTGTGGCGCAAAATGCCAAACTCTGTTTTATGATCAACTTCTTTAACACCAAATGTCACCTGAAAATCATCAGACAAAATAATGCAAAAAACAAACAAACCGAGACTGTTGATGATGCAGAGTGATGTCAGAGGGCAGTGTGATCTTTTATTTTGGTGCACTGAGCCTCACCTGCTGTTTCTTGTGCAGAGCTGCTGTTCCTGTTTGACCCCTGACGGCTCTGAGGATGGAAGCAGGGCTACCGGAGGCAGGATCTAGGTGAGTCCACCAATCGGGGAGCAGGGTGCGTGCGTCGTCTGGGTGCTGCCATGTTTCCTCACGTGCCTTCTCCTTGCTGCAGACATCAGATGGTGCTCTGAAGAAGCCATGGGTAGCTGCCTAAGCTGTCCAGAGAAAGAGTCGATTCCAGATAATCATCAGAGTAAATTCAAGGTGAGTCCTGCCCCGGCCTGCCTCACCTGTACGCCCACACGTCCCGTCGCTCGCTCATTACTCACAGCCCTGCTGCACACCTGCCGACGTGTCTCCACGTGAGGGTGGCCGATTGGTGAGCAGGTTGGGCTGTGGGCGGAGCCTCAGCTCCCACAGCTGTAACAGCAATGGGCTGTAAGTCTAAACGGGTTTATGCTGGGAAATGAGTCAGAGATCAGCTGATCTAAGAAAAGGGAGGAGAATCTTCAGGTCACGTGGTTAAAGTTCTCGTCCTCTGATTGCTCAAATCATCAATAATTTATGACCAGCAGGCAGGAGGTGATATCCGCCTCATTGAGAGGGCGCAGGTTCTCCGGGTCACAGTGGTCTTATCCAAATTTTTGAGTGCACTGTCCCTTTAAAGGGGACATGAAACGCTGCACATATGCTGATTCACGCCACTGAGCGCTGCTCATACAAACTGACATAGCTGTAACGTCGTGTGGTTGGTTGCAGCTAACAGAATGAAATGTGATGTCACAGAGTGACATCGGCAGTAACTGGGTGATCATGACGGGCTACGTTTGCTGTCTCACTGCATAGTAAACAAAGATCCGCCATGTGGTGCTTAAATAAAACTTCAGTCTGTGGAGATGTTTGTGATGTAGAAGGTCCTCGGGCTTAAATGAGCAGCTGCAGGCTGCACGACCTCCGTCAGTTTGTAGGTGGCGTTAGATGTTTGTTTGCTTCTGAACACAAGGCCGTGAGAAGTTCACGTCTTGTGTTCAGCATGAAGACAGAGCACGCTCCGTTAAACTCATCCTCAGGATTAAGATTCACTGATTTCTGCAGATGTGTGCCGATACTGGGTGTGGTGCCGGTAAAGGCGTGAAATGTCAGAGGTCATGACGCTCTCTCTCTCTCTGCCCGTCAGGTGATCAATGTGGACGACGATGGAAACGAACTGGGCTCGGGAGTGATGGAGCTGACCGACGCCGAGCTCGTCCTCCATACCCATCGCCGCGATGACGTCAGGTGGCCTTATCTGTGCCTGCGCCGCTATGGCTACGACTCTAACCTGTTCTCGTTCGAGAGCGGCCGCCGCTGCCAGACGGGCCAAGGTAAGAATCCGTGTGTGCCAACAGGAAATGAGGTCACCACAAGATCGTGTGTGTGTGTGTTGATTAAAGGTGTTTCTTGTTTCTGGTCTCTGCCTTGCTATGATTCGCTGTCAGGAGGGGGGTGTAGGAGGGGCCGTTAGGTCAGGTGGCCTAGTAAGTCTCAGCAGAATGTCCTTTGTCCTGCCCCGCCCCCGATCAGTATTGATCAGCTGTCGGTGAAAGAGCGTGTGGATCAAAACCTGCCTGCAGTGTGTGTGGTGCGTGATCCACCTGGCTTTGGTTCCTGTGAGGAGTCAGCAGAACCACCAAAATGATCCAGATCAATAGAAAACCAGTTGATCTGGATCATTCTGATAGTTGATCAGCAGCTCCTCCCACCGCTCAGCGTCCATTGTAGGAACGTCTCTTAGATGTAGGAGGAGCTAAATTTTCACTTCAGTGATTGTAGATCATGTGCATTTTTCTGCAAATGCTCAGTCGCAGCATCACTCATCCAGAGCATGACTCTGGGTCCGCCCACCACAATAGCGTGCTAGTGACATGAGAAAAACTTTCCTCAGCTCTGATTGGCTTGTTTGTTTCCTGCCTGCTGATTGCCTCCTTGGGCAGGAAGCTGTTTGTGTCTTCAGAGATTAGACCGATCCCCTCATCTCTCTTCCTGTTTCCTGTGTGTGAGGCTGCAGCTGACAGAGTGCAGCATAGTAACCACAGTAACCAGATTACCTGTTACTGATCTCACCTGTAAGTGTTCTTAATGTTGTTGCTGTTGGTGAACCCTTCACTGTGACTTCACCTGTAAGCTCCACCTCCTCCTGGACTCACCTGAGCTCAGTTTGATTGTCCTAATTCAAACTGTGTTCTGTAGTTTAAACCTGGCTGTTTCTACCTGACCAGGTGTGGGTGCTCATTTTAACCTGTGTGTGTGTGTTCAGGCATCTTTGCCTTCAAGTGTGCTCGCGCTGAGGAGATCTTCAACATGCTGCAGGAGGTGATGCACAGCCACAGCATCAGCGTGGTGGAGGAGGCTGTGCTGGAACCCAGCCACCAGGCGGCGCTCACGCCTGCAGGTAAAAACACCTGACAACCGTGGAGTGAAATGACATGTGGGGAGGGAAAGAGAGCACCAAATCTGTGTTGTGTCGCCCTCTGGTGACTGTTAGATGAAGTGAAGGTTCATGTCAATTCCTGTTGGAGACCAGGTCAGGTGCTGTCAGGAGGGTGATCAGTGATTGGAGGCTTGAATATCTTAAAGCCTTCAACATGAAATTCAGGTGTTAGTGTATTTTTACCATGTGACGTTTACAGGTGCAGGTCACATGCTTACTCACTAAACTCCTCCCATCTCTCTTTCCCCTCTGGCTGCAGCTCTCGGCTACTCAGTGCCGTCTGTGCCAAACGGTGTCACGCGGATCCCATCTGTAGGCGAGGCACCATCTCACCCATCCAGTCGTCACCCGTCTGTGGCGAGCACCCGGCTGCCGTCGGTGGGGGAGGAGTCTACGCACCCTCTGCTGGTGGCCGATGAAGCGGTAAGTCTCACCTGCGATCCTCGCTGTCGGGGGTGGGACATCCTGAGCTCTGTGTGCACTTTCAGCAGCACTGCCCAGTCACTTTTGAGCATGGTTAAAATACACCTGCACAGGAAGTGTTTTGTTCTATGCACAAGCAGAGAACGGCTTCTTCCTGCATCTGCCTTTCACAATAAAAGCCCCAGACTGCTGGTAAACTCTTTCTACAATATAGTGACCCATTAAACCTGACACAAGTACACCTCAAGCCCCTGAAGGTTTTATCAGATACTGTGATGTTATCATGTTGACCAATAGGCTGAAATGACCCCTCATTAGAAAAGCATTGTGTCAGTTAGTTTCAACACAGTAATACACAGAAATCGATCAGAAACCTGTCGACCACATCAATCTATACCTCAGACCTTAGGTAACAGTAGCTCCTGCATTTTAATCAAACACCTGAAGAAAACGTTGAGTTTAACCTGCAGTGCTGACCCATCAGTTTTTAGATCAGGTAGACACAGGTCTGATCTTCACTAGCAGAACATAAAGTCCAGCTGAAGGAATCTGCTACCTGAAAACTCTCCTGAGAGATCACCTGGGGACCACTGATGATTGTACAGGTGTCTCACTCCCCTGACCTGTTAGCTTTACCTGGAGGACTTGGACTGCTCGTCATCTAAATAAATGAGAGATGTGACACACCTGGACAGTCCGAGGGTTCAGGTGATCGTTTCCAGATGTTTTCCGTGCTCCTGAAGCTTTCTGTCACTTTAAAGTTTGTCAGTATGGTGACCTGTAGGTAACTGGGTCTCACCTATCTATCTGTTCACAGGTACACACCTACGTCAACACCACGGGGCTCCTGGAGGAGCAGCCGAGCCCGCTAACTGTCACCACCCCGCTGGAGAGCCCTACCTCTCCACAATCTCAGTGTCCGCCGACGCCTCCGCCCCCTCCGAGGGTCCGTGGGGAGCCACCGCCACCGACGCCCACCCCAGCAGAGCCACAGGTGTTGCTGGAGCCACAAGGCGTGCGTTTTGTGCTGGGCCCCACGCCTGTTCAGAGGCAGCTGATGGAGCGGCGGCAGAAGGCGCTGAAGGATGCCGCCGAGCACCAAGAGACTAACGGCCACGGCGAGAAGCCCACCGAGCCTGAACCCGCCGCCACGCACTCCAACGGCTCGTCGGCTCCTCGCCGCCACCGCCCGCCCCCCCTCACACCCGACCTGCAGAATGTCAATAACTCGGCCCAGCGGCGCACGGCCCTGCTGGACTATGAGAACCTGCCAGCGCTTCCGCCCGTGTGGGAGGCGAGGAAGCCGAGCTCCGAGGACGAGGAGAAGAGCTGCGGCGGCTCCAAAACGCCGTCGCTCAATGGCTACAACCACCATGCCCACCACCACCTGCACCACTCCTACTCCCACCCGTTGTCCGCTGCGCTGGAGTCCTCGCACAACTACGTCAACACAGAGAACGTCACGGCGCCGCTCAGCGCCCATCGGCCTGACACGGCCCGCCGCCGCGTTGATGGGCCCACCATCTTCAACTTTGACTTCCGCCGGCCGCTGGTGTCGGGCCACAGCGAGCCGCCCAAGACGCTCAACTACATCGAGGTGGAGATGGACAGCGGGGCCGGGAACAAAGGCGCCTCCGACGGGAGCAATCCCCACACACCGCGCACCCCCTCCTCGCCGTTGCCCCCCACCACCCCCACCCGCCGCACCGAACTCTATGCCCTCATCGACATCGAGCGCACCGCTGCCATGTCCAACTTACAGAAGGCGCGGCCGCGGGACGATGGCACGTCACGCAAGACGAGACACAACAGCACGGAGCTGCCCACCAAAAGCACGGCGTGACACCCCCCCTCCCCCGTTTTTACTCTGGGCTCCACGCCGAGCCGCATACGGACTCCATGAGCCGGACACTTCCTGCAGACAGACTGATGATGACATACCTCTGCTGGAGGCGGCGTGCTGATGATGTAATAGACTTCCTTATATGGTACAAATCAGTATTACTGAACAAAGCATTCCATTTAGCCTTTTATACGAGTCACTACGTGCTGCTGTAAGTCACTTATGTTCTACATGTACAGTAGATGTGCCACAATAAAAGTCTGGTTTTATTTCTACTGCAGAGCCTGTTTGGGGAGGAGTCTGTTTAGCTCATTTAAATGTCTGAACTAGTGATGGTAAATTTGATTCTTTTTACTGAATCAAGTTTTAATGAGTCACTCACCAAAGTGAATCGGGTTTTTTGAGTCATTTTTCCACTGAGTCAGTTGACCAGAGAGTGCAAAAAATGTACATTTTCACTCAAACTTAATTTGTTTCTCTTTTCATGTAAATCCTACTGCTAAGATGAGTGATTCTAAAAGAAAACAACTATTTTATAGAGGAAAAAGAGCAAAGACATTTCTAAAATTAAGCAATTTCCTATCAAAATTGCTTAATAAACATAGCTCAAATGTGCTGTTAGCATGTTAGCAGAGCGATGCTACTGTGAACCGAGGAGCTATTGTCTTGATGTGAGCTTCTACTCAGGGTTTTTTCTTCCAGTTCAGAGCAGAAATCTTTTTGTTACGATACTGGATGTTGTTTTTCTCCACAATTTTAATTATAAGCTAATACATAGCTGCTAACAGCAACAGGGATGAGTCAGTGAGTCAGTTGGGCTTGTGAATCATGAGTATTGAATGACTCGTTCATGATTCGTGCATCACTAGTCTGAACTCGGGTTTCTGGTGCAGCAGTGAGAGAAGATCTGCAGTTTGGCGATGACTGATGAAGGCACCACATGTGACTGAAGTGCAGACTTTCAGCTTTTGCTCAGCAGCTTTACAGATTTACTTTTTGCTGTCTGTGGGATCTGCAGTGTTAAAAGCAACTCTTACATTTAGACAGTCTGTCCACTTACTTTTTATCTTGTGAGAACGATGTAGTACTTTAATGAAACCCTGCCCTTCAGTCCCATCCTGGTTCTTACACAGGAAGAACTATGAAACCTGGCCTTCGTCAGCATCACTGCACCTGAGCACACAGGTGTTTTCCTGTATGACCTCAGCGCAGCAGGTTTAGGAGAGAATGCTGAAAACGTGTCCTGACAATACCTGTTCAACCAATCACATCCATTCACTGGCTGTGGGACAGGACGCTGTACACAGTCTGTGGAATCCAGGTGTTTATGTTACTGCGCTAATCTGTGTCATCCACCTGCTTTTATTTTACTGTAACCTACAGGTGTGTTACTCATCCACCCCACACATCTGACCCTACACCCTAAACATGACCCCAGTATCAAATACTCGAGTACATCTCGCCGCTCACGCTCTGCAGATCTACACCTTTGGGCCCTCCACAGGACTGTTAGCAACAGGTGATCAATATGATGAATATTGATCGACCCCATTGGTCTAAAGGTCACACGATTGATGTGTGAGACAGACTCAAACTTAGAAAACACTTTATTTCATCACATTTACATCTGAAAAACACGACAGTACAAAACTGATGACAGATTATAAAATATTTACACGGCCGCCTCACTCAGCGTGCCGGCCCTGCGTGGCGAGTCTCCGCCTGCTCATCAGCTCCACGGTGCGATGGTACTCGTCTAATTTGTCTCGGACTTTGTTATAAAGCTGGAAAAACAAAACAGTAAGTGCAGAGCGTCAGGTCACATGTGCGCGTCTCAATTCACTCAAGTGCACTGACAGGAAACAGGAAGTGACTCACGGCGCCTTGGGTCTGCGTCTCGTTCAGCGCCTGCAGGAGCTGGTCGATGGACGTGTACGGCAGCCATGCTGGGGGAGACGTGGCAGAGAGCGGCCGCTGAAAAAGGCGAGTAAAAAGGAAAGGCGTTAAAACAGCACCGACACGTCACAGATATGCATGTCGGCGTGACTTTTACCTCAATTCCAAAGTACTGGTGACCACGCCCCAGGACGGCGTCCACATACTCCAACACGAGCTCTGCCGCCGCCTCCAGCAGGTCAAAATTCAGGAGGAGGCGCAGCAGAGACGGAGCGTCCACGCGCTGAAACAGAGAGGGGCATGGTGGGAAAAAACAAACCCTACCTGGCAGGGCTGCACGATTAATCGTTAGAAAATCGCGATCTCGATTCATACTTATGTGCGATCTCATTTCCAAATGACAACGATTTTTAAAAAAAAGGAAAAAAAAGACAATTGTAGCGCATTTTGATCCAGGACGTACTCTGCTTGAAAACAAGCGCTCACTCTTCCTGCTCAACAAATGACAAGGGCGGAGCCTTATACCACGTGATACAGAAGCTGTGCCGTGTGATGCTAAAATTAACAGGGGAAAAAACAACGGAGAGCACGTCAGGGATGACGAGAAAGTGACAGGAGAAAATCCGTCCCGGTCAACCACCCAAACATCAATAACGGGAACCTTATACAGCGCTTCCCTATACATGTTGAACTCCCGCAGGCACAAAGACATTATGGAGGCTATCACTTATCACCTGACCAAAGATATGGCTCCCATCAACACTGTGCAAAACGAGGGATTTAGGAAAACGATCAACACTCTAGACAAACGCTGCACAGTGCCGTCCCGCAACTGTTTTTCTATTGTTGCACTACCTGCTCTGTACACGCAGCGTCGAGCAACGGTGGAGACGGAATTTCAAGCAGTACAGCAACAAAATGTGAGACATTTGTTGTTTTATGTTTATTTATTGTTTTTATGTTCAGTCTCAACTGTTACGAAGTTGATGTGCAGTTAATAAGTGCAATAAATATTTATACTGGAAAAGAGAATCGTGAGAGAATCGTGATCTCAATTCTAAGCCAAAAAATCGTGATTCTCATTTTATGCAAAATCGTGCAGCCCTACTACCTGTAACCCCGCCCACTCCTCTTCACCAGCCGAGCTCTCACCTTGTAGCCTTTGACCAGCCAATCGGGTAGAGGGACACCATGTGACAGCAGCTTGTGGATGACGTAGCGGTGATGCTGCCCATTGGTGGAAGGATACTTGTCCAGGTAGGAGGCGAGGAGACGCCACGCCTCGTCTGCGGTGCTGCGAACAGAAGGAGGTTGTTGTTAGTTATATGGAGGTCCACGGGCGTCTGTTTCCTGCAGATAAACAAAGAAGTGTCAATCAGTAAGTGATTGTTGGAAGCACACCTGGACTCTTTGGTGTTGACAACTGACAGCTGATTAACAGCCAACCAGCTCCAGGCTTCGTTCTGAGACTCCTCCCCTCCAAGCTGCAGCTTGATGCACCTGAAAACAGTGCGAGGTAAACAAATAGGTGAAAAAGACAAAGCCGTAAATGGAGAGCGCCGCTGAGGCGTGCGGTGGTGGACCTACTTGAAGGCGAGGCCCTCAAAGACGGGTGTCAGGCTCAGGTTGAAGGTGCGACTTAGAACCAGCGCAGAGTCAAAGAGTCCCGTCTGAACCAGCAAGACCAGCAGCTCTGCCGCCGAGGCTCCGCCTACACACAGTTACATGGTCACCTGTTTACTGTAAAGCTCCGCCTGTGTGTGTGTGTGTGCGTGTGTGTATATACGGATATTAACATCTTCATGGGGACCAAAAGTTGGTAGTTTACTATCCGGTTGTTCAGTCTGACGTCACTGAACTGCGCTGCAGGTCCATATATCAAACGATCACTGTGGCATTACTGAGAGTTGAAAAACTGTCTAAAGTCTTTCATCTTTAATAAAATGATCAGCGTTCTGCTCTACCAGGTGTAACAATTGAGTTTAACATCCAGGCATCCATGAAAACGGAATTTATGACATTTAACGGAGTTAGAAGTTAGCAGGAAGTTAGCTCGCTAGCTTCTATCTAAATACAATATAGCATGTCCTGACTGCGGGGTTTTGGAAACAAATTAAAACGTACAGCTCTGTTATCACTTCCAACATAAATGAAGACAGAAAACTAAACAGCAGTGACGTTTGTAGGGTTACTGAAGTTTGGCTAGCTGGTATATAATGATGTGCTACGTGACCGCTAGCGACACAGCTATGTTAGCATAATATAAACAAGCTAACTTTTTTTCCACTCGATAAAAGTTAACGTGAGTGTTCTCGGTGGTCAGGAACAAATGTAATCGCATGGCAGGATGCTGTAAAAGGACCAAACTTCAGCCAGGAGAACAACTGAGATAATCCATCCACAATACGAGGTTAGTCATTCATATACTGCTGCATGGGCTGGGCTGTAGTTACATCCTAAGGTTTTAAAAACTGAGCTTAAATAAATGATTAGCGGTAATAAAAGCCGAGGGAGGTCAACAGTGATCACTGACTGTTTTAGGAGCTTTTTGAGATCAAATAGAAGAAAATACAAAACATTAAACATGTTAACAACACAAAAGCCATATTAAACGCAGACTACTTTAGACCCGGAAGTAGGATTCGTCGCGTCATCACTGAACAACCGGATACTTGTGGGGACAAACAGCCCTCGTGGGTCCTCACGAGTTTGACGGCATTTTTGAGACTCAGAATGTGGTTTTAGTGTCAGGGTCACAATTAGGCTATGGACAGGTTTAGGGTAAGGGTCAGTGTCAGGAGCTAGGGAAAGCATTATGTCAATGAGATGTCCCCACAAGGATATAAATACACATGTGTGCGCGCATTAGCGTACCTGCGATAGCAGCGGAGGGCGGGTGGTGCTGGGCGAGGGTGAGCCGGCTGCGAGACAGGATGTACTCCTTCTCCAGGTCTCTGACCTCCAGGATATCCACCTGTCGCTTGACTGAACAGGAAGCAGAGCAAGGGTTACAGCAGCTCGCCACCAGGGGGCGTCACCTGCCTGGACAGAAGCCTTATCTACTCTGAAAATGGTGGGACTTCAAGTCTAAAGGCCCTGGTGTGTTTGATTTAAGACTCACCTGGCTCAGCAGGAAACTCTCCGTCAGAGTTTCTCTTCGGAGACGCACCTGGACGCTCGTACTGCAGGAAAACCCCCCACAAAAAACAAAATCACAACACTGTTGGACAGGTCACACAGATTCAGTCGGTGTGTGTGTGTGTGTGTGTACCGTTGCCCCGGAGACCGGCTGGACGATCCAGGCGTACTCCGGCCTGATGAGGCGTAGACAGTTGAGAGCAGCCAAGTAACAGTTCACCTGCTTCTGAAGGCCGAGGCGGGTTC